CCAATCAGATTGTCAGTTGTAAACCAATCACTGACAGATAGATATTCTCAACAGTGAAGAAATAAAACAACCCTTCCCTAACAGTCATGATATGCCAATCAGAGAGCAGTTTGATTGGTGTATCAAATTATGGCTTGTATATAAGCTTCGACTGAAATGTGAAACGCTCCAACATCGCACGGACATCCACCCCCACAATTGTTACAGGTATCAGGGAACGTGGACACTAAACAAGTGAATACAACTTGTATTATAAAGATTGGCCTGTGGAAGATACGCCCACAGGCCGGGCTCATTGCCTAACATGCCTACCCACTATAGAAGACGAAATAGAAATGGACATCAGCCTAAATTTGGGTTTAAAGCGCGGTGGTCGTTGCGCAGCTCGTGTTCAAATTTCAAGTAAATAAACAATGTATTTTACACGCGTTGTATACGTCGCTATGAGTCTCATATCGAATAGGACGCGGCACGACGACTGCCGCCCTTTAATCTGTCGACAAAGCTAGTTTATAATAACAATGTTAGCTTGTAATGGTAATTTATAATAGTAATTTAATCAATAATGGCAACGGTAGATGGTCATTGTCGTTTAATATGATATCATAATATTTGTTTATAATGATATTTTCTTTTCATAATAAATTTGGTAAAGTTATTTTATAATGATGGTGATAATTTCAAGCTTGCATAGTTTATAATGATCATCTATTTTCGTTTATAAAAATACCCAGTATATTGCAAGTAATGCTGATTAATACTAATTAAATAATCCAAAATAATGGCGACTTTAGTTGATAATGGTAATTCCATTTCAAATTCCAATACTAATATATCATGGTATTGTAAATGTGTAATGGTGATGGTATCTTAAAATCACAGATAATGAATGACGTCATCGTCAGGCAATTGTAATATATGACAATTCCATTTCTACTGCCTGAAACAGGTCGGGTCTGAATCTCAACCTCATCACCTATCCCGGTTATTGTGAGGTCACAAAATACACATGTATCAAAAGTACTACTTAAAGAATACAGTAAGAATATACTATATACGATGATGTCACCATAGAGTAAACGTGTATTATATCTGACGTGGTCACGGAGCTTTTCAGCTCAATGCTGTGGTTAGCAGTAGATATATATTGTATTTGGAACATGTATGTCTATTAGCATTTATCAGAGAATGCGATTAAAGGCATTAGCAATGTCGTCCATTAAACGCTCTGGCTTGGGAGATGATGATGGAAAACTGTGTAGACTTTAATTTTAAACTAGATCCCCGAAATACGTTGCTGTAATGGCGTTGTTTCTCTATCAAATGTATTTCTTGTATATAAATAACTTATTTTGAATCATTTGTCCATGCAGATTCTCTTTTTAACCCCCCAGTTTCCAATCATGGCAACTTGTCACAGCACAAATAGGTGTATACATGTATATGACGTACATGAAAATTAAAAACCTCAAATAGAATAACGCAAATCGTTGTATTTATGAAAGTGACTGAAAGTACACGCAATGAAAAAGTATTGAGTATTCCGAATTAACATAACATATAGTTGTTCCTTAACTTACAGTCCCTCAATGTGAAAAGTTGTATTTCATATCAATAACTTTTGTGTTCAATCTGAAATCTTGTGATCGCGGTTTATTTTCAATTTGACAGTCTTCTAACTAATGTATGAAACCTATAACCTATATAATCTGCACCTTGGTTTCGTCAACAAGCTTTTGTATATATCGCGAAACACAGTCCCTCAACAACGTGGGACTGTACGCGAAATTAACATATAATGCTGGGCGCGTTTCCAAAACCACAGCTTCCTGTTTACCGCATAGCTCTTACGAGTTGTACAAAATGGCTTCAGTGTTCACAAACTTTGCAGCGTACAAGAGTCAATGACATCCAAAGTAGATTCAGTTACGAACCAGCTCTCTCACATCAGTTACATGGTGAGTGGTTGGTTGCTTAAAAGTGGGCGTGACCGTGATTGAACGCCTAGTTTGGCACAGTGCCACGGACATGACTGCACATACACATTTTCGCGGCACTCGCACGTGTCACTGACACGATGTGCGAAACAAACCGGTGTATTTAAATTTATAGGAACGCATCTTTCGGAGGTTAAACAGACCACCATCGGGTGCTCATAAATGATTTGAATGATCCATGTAAAATGTCTCAATAATAACGTAGATACTCCGAACAGAAAATATTAACCGCTACGTTGCTTAATCGCCGATAGTTGCGCCGATAGTCAACGAATGGAAGAATTCTAAAAAGTGACAGGCATAAAGTCTTGATATTGCATATAATCAGTTGATTCTCCCTTGTCGGATGTGTAGCAATGCACGTATATCATACGATCTACAAAATTCAATGACTAGTGTTTTAACTGGACAATGGGGTGCATCGCAATTAACTGTTTTGTAATGTAAACACAGTGATCAAAACGTCAATTCTTCTAATGTCGGTGCGATCGATAAAGTGTCTATCAAATATTATAATGAGTAAACGACAGACTGAGACTGATCTGTGATTGGCCAGAGAAGCGATTGATATGCAAATTAGGTCACGGGAATCAACAACAAGAGGAAAACAAAAGATTGCAACACATAACATTTATTCTTACTACGCCATCGAAGACTGAACACATCGTCCTCTGTTTGGGCGCGATTATCGAGAAAACTGTCAGTTTGATCTACAGCCGACGTTGTCAAACCAACCGTCCACCTCGTGATCTCTTATTTGACGTGGAATTCGAGTCGGTCAAAGGCGGAATAACCATGAAACGTTGCGTCTAAAAATAGTTGATGTCATCATAACATGGCGATGGTAGGTGCTTCATGTGTTTGTCATAGTGAAATTACACCGATGTGCCGAAATTTTTTCTGTATATGCTCTGAGGGGTTATTGGTTGAGCCAGTTATGATGCCATCTGGTCGACCATATGATGCTCTATTTTTGTATGTATTAGTTTTGAAGATATCATGGAAATAAGTACCGAACAGCGGCCTAAAACTTGAGGTCCATTGAAGGTCATTTCAAATTGTGTCAGGAATTGTGTATCACCACAACTCGCCGGCATTTGCCGGGTGCCTTCCCACTGAAATCAATGTTATTGCACATATTATCTTTCTCATTATTTCATACTAAATATTTCATATGGCGAAGTTTTATTTGCAAATAATATTTCGTATTTATTTTATTTTATTTATTTTTTAGGATGAATTTCATCCTTTCATCGAAGCCCTTCTCCCACATGTCAAAGCATTCGCATACATATGGTTCAATCTGCAAGCCAGAAAACGAAAATACTTAAAGAAACATGACAAACGTATGTCACCCGAGGAAGAGCGTCAGACCAAAGACGAACTGTTAAATGAAAAACCAGAGGTGAAACAGAAATGGGCTTCGCGGTTGCTAGCCAAACTGCGGAAGGACATACGTCCAGAATTTCGTGAGGACTTCGTATTGAGTATTACAGGCAAAAAGCCACCGATGTGTGTTATGAGCAATCCTGACCAAAAAGGGAAAATAAGGCGAATAGACTGTCTTCGGCAAGCTGATAAAGTTTGGAGGTTAGACTTAGTAATGGTGGTGCTATTTAAAGCAATACCGCTCGAGAGTACAGACGGGGAGAGACTTGTCAAGTCGCATTCGTGTCATAACGCACTTTTATGCGTGCAGCCAGATCATATAAGTGTCTCTGTACGAGAACTCGATTTATTTCTGGCAAGTTATATCATACAGGCACCTGGCACAGGTAAGTTTCTGTATATATATTCAATACTTTGTGTGTGACTCTGTGGACTCTGAAGACTGTTACAAATTTATTGGCGGTATACATGTACATACATGCTTTAGTTCTCCCCACTCTACGCCCAGCCATTGTATTGTTTGTTTGTCTTTCGGTATAACAATGTAAAACTAAAGGTACGGCTTGGGACGAGTACACTGAAGCCGGTTACGATTATGCAGGTGAAAATAAAATAACAATAGACAACAATTGAAGTGAAAATGGTAAAATCTCTGAATATAATTATTGTAAAATGGCAAAATTGCAGCAATTTTGATGCTTGAAAATTCAATATTGTTGAACTTTGGGTGGTAGTTTCATTTGTGATCTGTGTTACTCAGAAATATTTTTACTGTGGAGAATGTAGTAACTGCTGCTGTAATACTCTTGTTGCAACAACGAGCAGAGACGCAGTAAATAATTTAATTTAAGACGCAGTAAATAATTGGACTTTCGATTTGCTTTTTTACAAACTAAATGTAGACATGATGTCTATTGTTTTATTACTTGCCTGGTGTGATCTCAAGGGGGATAGGTAAACGTTTCAACTTGTTTTAGGGGTCTCATTACAAGCAATTGAAATAACTGAAAATACTAGTAATCAATGTATTGTGTTAGCATCAAGACAAGTGCCATTGTCACCTGTGCTGATTGTTTTATTTGCTTCTACAAGAGTACTTTACAAGGTTGTAGGAATTATTATTTAAGTTCACTGTGACATGATTTAACTTGACGTCAGGATTTAAAGTTTTTTATATTCAAATTATAATAAAAATGATTTCTGAGAAAGGATTAGTAATTTGTAGGATTAAAATGTAAAAAAATAATAATAAAAGTAGTGGCAGTAAAAGCTGTCACATACTTGGTGCAGCACTAACTAGTTGTTTTGCCAGTTGGGCTTTGACCTCTCACATTTGTGGTTCATTGGTAATTTTGAAGTATTTGTTAAGGCTACACCACCGCTGATGAAGTTGTAATTCGGGAGTTTAGCAAGTTCTTTTTTTTTAAAACTATTTGTACCCATTTATAGGTCACTGGGTCACTCTGACTACTATATTTGGATCATTCTATTCACTATATTTAGATGTAGGCAAGGTTCCAAAATTATTGTACAAAGAAAACAATGTAGGCGCAAGGAAGTGGGGAAGAGTGCCAAGATGTGGGTACTATTCTTGTCTTATTATCAACGCAACAATGGTCCTACTACGTTGCATACTGCATGGGTTTATATTATCGTCGCCTAGTAATACAAGGAATTTGATAATATTTATAAACTATGTCTTACTTTTTTACTATTTTGTATACTTGTCTTAAACTAGTAAGATTTTATAACATGTGAAATCTTTCTTCGTATCAATACTTGCATCTATGTATTTCCCTTTTTTTTTAGTTACTACAATCTCTGACGTTTAGTAATCCAGGTGATTAGAGTTTGTGAATTGTTTTTGGTATTGGTTTTAAAATATCAGGCTCTGCTTTGAGCCTATTTCTTGCTATATCATGGCAGCTAGTATTAGTTGAGAAAAAACATTTATAGACTTGGATAGTGTATTTTTTTTTTTAGGAATTTGTTGCCTTTCGATTGTGTTCCATTGATGGTGTCAGTTTGCTTGTTATGTAGTCATGTGACACATGGCAGTGTTTGCATAGTTTGCAATACTGTGAGCGGCTTCTAATTTGGGATTTTTTTTTAGTTGAGTTGAGTGAAAAAATGGGATAAGTTGTAGCAGTGTAGATTTCACTGGGATCCTCTTTGTCTGGGAATAACAGTATTTTTTTTAGATTTTGTATGGAGCCACAACAACTTTTGCAACAGTCACATTTTGTCCCTGTGATTCTTTTCAAATTATATAATAGCATTTCTAACAGTGAAAATTTAACTGTTTACACTTATAACCACACCCCTATAATGTGGCAAACTGAAAGCAGATTATGTAGTGCATTTCAAGTGTTCTAGGGGAGCAACTGTCCAATCCATCCATAGTGCGTAGGAGAGTAAGACCCCTTATCTAGTTCACAAATAACTTTTGTAAGCTGAGACACTTTTGTTAGTCAATTATTAGTGCATACCAGCGGCTCCTTGGTGAATCATACATGTTTCGTTTTCAAAGGTTACAGTTGATGTGAGAGGAGGTCCTTTTGTTTTGAGAACGTTCACTGCACAGCACTTTCTGGTTTGATTGAAGAAAGACTGACTGTTTATGCACATCGATAATTCTAGTTTCATTTTACAACTGAGTAATTACTTCATAAGTTTTCATTGATACTTTATGAGGAAAATTGGAAAGTAAAACTAAAAGTTTGAGAAATCTAAGATTTACTAATATTGTTAATAAATTACCTAATATAAAACTGTAAGTTGAAGTTGTTTATTGAACTCTGCAACAGAGTAGAAATGTGGATGTTTTATACCAAGTGATGTAAAACTTTTGAAATTTGTTGATTAATTTTGCTCAGTTTAAAATATTTGTGTGTGTGCATCCTTATGAGATTTGTAGTTAATTTATCAGTTTTCTCATTTAAAATATTGTTTATGCAGAAAAGTTAAAGAAAATTACAATACAGTGTTATAAAAATGTTACAAAATACATGATGACATGAACGTTTTTAAATATAAAAAACTTATAAATATTATATTAACAAAGAAAAATACCTAGACATGTACGAAATGTTGCACTGCAAATAATTGCATTCAAAACATTAAAGCTTTGGATGGAGATAATATTATTGTCTGTTTATATGTGATTTGTCTTGTTTTCCATATTGTTTTTTAAATGTTTCTGTGCCAGGCGACAGTTCCACATATTGAATGTCACTGTTGTCTCTCCCAATTTTTTTTTTGTATGTGTAAATTGCAAGTACTAGTGCTGACACATAGTGCATTTTAGCACAGAAGCCACATTTATGTTTGGGACTACATGACAGGGATCTCTCTGCGCTATCCTGGCATCAACCAGGCCCAGTCAAACACAAGCACCTGTGGATCTTACCCAAATCTTTCTCTTCAGTACTTAGGTGATACATTCTCTATTTCTGTACTTTCTTTGTTAATTTTATTATTTCCCATTACCAATAAGTTCAGATCACAAATTTCTAAAAAAGTATGAAAAACAATTATGCAGGTTTATTTTGTAAAAATAAAGGTGACAAATGTTAACATAGTCTTTCAACGGGTTTAAGAAGAGCCTGTCTGTCAATCCCTGACCATTGTGGGACACCAATGTTAGTATTGTGAACATTTTTTTTTATTTATTGCCTTGGAAACATGAGTGATGACTATAATGGAGTTTGGCCTCTAATAACCAGTGTGAGTAGAGAGAATTGACGTATACAGGATGTGTATGCTAGTATCCATTTCAAAGAGGAAACAGAGAATTATAGGGCAATCAGTAAAAGCTGTCCATGCAGCATCATTGTCATGGCCATGCTTGCACAATAACATTTCATTTTATATTTGTATTTCAAGGTCAAAGATGTTAGTGTAATCACAGTGATATATTCTACCGTCAAAAAGATAATTCTAAGACCAAATCTAATATTTTATTTTATTAGTGGTGTATGCATTCATGACGTACATGTATGTATATTACAAGTGTGTTTCTATGGAGAAAATAAGTTTCAAGTTTATACCACATTTATTTTTGATTTATATGTGCCTATGATTTGAAGCAAATATAGAAAAATCTGTCTAATCTGAACCCTGTGTAAAGTACAGATTTGTCAAACTGAACACACGTTTTTTATGGTTATTCCCAGTACTTCAAATATTAGACTGTATCTTCTATACACAGTGAGATTAGGTTGAAATTTCTCAAAATTGAGTACCACACACCAGGACTTTTAAATGTCATAAGGCCTGCCAGAGTTACCAACCCAAGATTATTTTTCATTCTAAATTATAAAGTTAATTTTTCAGTCATCACTTGCATATAGATCTGAAAAATATTGCATTCTCTATTTCATGATCAAGTCATCGGAGAAGAACGACGACGATCAATTTCATCCAATAATACTATTCAGTAAAATTGCATTTCGAAATTTTAATTTAAGCAGACCATCTACCAATTTTTAATGTAAGTTTTGCTGGTCCCAGTGGAAAGTTGCTCATTTTGGACATACATGTACAGGCAGTCAGAAATTTCAAACACCCGTATGCTAGAATACGCAATGATGGAATTTAATGTGAAATACGAACATTATAATATTAAGTCTTTGTGTCCATAGTAACAACGACAGACAATATAAATTTATAATAATTAAAATGAATTGCAATCTTTTATTATTCGATGAATGTATTAAATCATTGCACCAAATCATCATGTTCAGTATGAGTCCCATGCGATGTATACAACCCACATAAAATAAGTTGTTAGTTTATTTGAAATTTGGTAATGCTGCATGATTGACTGGTGATTGAGTCATCAGTAACACATAGACATGCACAAGGCTTGATCTCTCTGTAGATAGACGCGATAGTTTAATGTTTTCCCCACATGTGCAGTGGCTGGTTGGTGAGTTCCAGCCATTCGCATCTGGTTATTCTTATTAGCTGTTATTAAATATATATGTGACAGGTTAACATAAAAATGTATGGACAACGTTGTCATAGTAGATTGTGATCCAGCGCTAAATTGTGGATGATATTTATTGTGCCTGATCGTTAGTGGGTTGTATATAAAGAGACTGTTGTCTGTTACTGGTCCGAAAGTGCGTTGCACATACATGAAAACATAATTATCAGACCCTATAAATCAGCCGAAATGCTACTTTATAATCCCTTTACGTGCATCCATCATGTTTTTGCATCAAGCGTATGGCTATCGGATGATGTAAGCAGCAAACAAAGAACTGACAATATATTGTGTGTATATTTGTCTCAAATTTGACCTTTTCATGTATTGAAATGATGTTCCCTTGCTATAGCTAATGTTCCTTACACATGTGTTTTTTTTGGCTAGCACATTACTTTAGCTAATTCAGCTGATCCATAAATTAAGATGTCGCTAATTAGAATAGAGAACATTCTCACAATGAAATTATTGGCGCTTACGCTAAATTAATTCGTGCATTGCGTCAAATTCGCTAAAATGGCATGTAGCTATTTCAAAGTGTTTTACAGTAGACTGCAACACACACCTTAGTTTGTTTTGTCTTATTCAGTTACATCTTTCTCTGAGCTTTATTTTTGTTTCTAATTTAACCCTTTTCATTTTTTCTGAAGGATGTTTCGAACAATGTGTGTGATGTGGATTCATGTTAAGTTTTATTAATCACTTATATTTGTCTTGCTTCGAACAATGTGTGTGATGTGGATTCATGTTAAGTTTTATTAATCATTTATATTTGTCTTGCTGTGCATCTTCAACTAAATGCCCAATCCTGGAGACTAATTTGCATAATATTTACATCCAATTTGCATGA